CTTATTGAACTGCCAGTGACTTTCTGCACAAGACCGTAGCAAGTGTGGCGTCGGCTGTCTGCCTTGACGCTGGAACTGAAATCACTGGTTACCAAGAGAGCCACACAAATGGGATGATCGCAGACATTTTTATTGTAAGTAAACTGGCTCCCGCCTTTTTGTTTTGTTTTTGAATCAAGATCCTTAGCTCCAAACTATCAAATATAAAATTGCTGTTCTGCAGACTTCCGTGATTGGACACACGACAACGCCTCTAGTCACGAACACATGGCGCCATAAACGCAATTTCCCAACACCACCTGAAAACAAAACCTCGGCGCACGAACGCACAAACAAGACTTTGGTGCCAGGTTTTCGATTACGCATTGTGAACATTGTTTGTAATTATGTTGTTCTTGATATATTTGTTATTGTTCTGGCTTTTTGCCTTAAACTAACTGTCATTATGGCTGCTAAGAAAGCGAAAAGTGTTAGGGAAGTGAGTTAAAGAAGCCTAAGTCTACTTTTTTTTTTACGTGGATAATTTCTCATAAAGTGGGTGTCGATGGTCTGACTTCACTTTGAAGAAAACAACAGCCCTGGATAGCTTGATTCTGTTTTCCATTGTGGGGAAATCCAAGAGGTACATGAGGTGTTTCTAGTGCATCCAAGAATTACGCGCATTGCTTCATTTTGAATTGTTTTCCAGTCTGTTCATCTGTGTTGTGCTGAGTGTCATGATGGCCAAGGCATATTCAATGGTGGAGAGAACTAAAGCACGATACAACATTACAAGTAGCAGTTGCTCAAAGTTTGCAGGGCCCATAACTTTGATTGCAGAGAGACCTTTCTTGGCTTTGGTTATAATGTGGTCTACGTATTTTTTAAAATGCTAAGCATCTGTCAAATGTTTTACCGAGGTATTTCATGGAATCAGATCTCTCCACATCAGCGCCACAGAGTTTTACTATTGACTTTGGTGTTTTAGAAAGATGATTATTTAATGAGAACCAGGTGACTGACGCTTTTGATGTATTAATTGTTGCCCCTGAGGTGTTGCTCCAGGATGATATGCGATCTAATTCCTGTTGTAGAGCCGAAACAATGTCATCTCTGTTCCTGCACGAGGATATCATCCGCATATGATAGAGTTCTTCCTCTGCCACTCAGTTGTTCCCCTGTGATCTTGACTGTGTACATGCTGAAGAGGACAGGAGACAATGGAGAACGTTGTGGCAAACCAGGGTGTATTGTTATCGGCTCAGAAGACCAACTACCACATCGAAGCACGACCTTCCTCTGGACATAAACCCACACTTACACCTGGTTACGGCGCCATTGATATGATTTCTAACTTGACCACAGGTCAGTAGTTTGCACAATTCCATCTGTCGTCTCGATACGAGACGCAGTTATTCGTTTATTTTAAATCCCAACCCTGTCTGTAGTCAGGGGCCCTAATATAACCTAAAAGTTTAACAGGGTTTCAGGGACCTCCACAACCCCCTCCCCCCAACCTTCACCCCTCCCCTCCGGGTGATCCTCATCCGCATTGTGGCACTTTGTGTCTCGGGTGTTTATCGTTTGGTGGATGTCCTGGTGGGGTTGAGTGTTACTGACTCACTACAGGTAAGTGGCACTTTAGAGTTTTGAGAATTCACCGACAGAACCACAAGTCAGCGCTCACATCCGCGGTACGGGCCAGAAACAACGCAGGCACACTTTCAGCAAATATTTCCGCTGATCTAATTAAGACAGGTATCTGCACGTGAAACAATTGCCTACACCGTTGCCTGGAGCGGCTTTCTCAAAAACTGGGCGTAGTTACACACAGACATACACACATAAGTAGGTGAGTGGGGGAAAATGTCGTTAATAGGCACAGACACTCACACACGCATAGACACAAACAGTGACACACGATAGGAGAAAAAATGGTGGAATGTGGAGGGGAAAAAAAAAGGGGGGGGGAGATACGTCAACAAGTCAATGTCATTATCTTAGATAGCTGGATGCATCCCTCGTCTCGATCTCCTCCTTCGCTTTCTTTCCCTCCTCCCCATTCATCATCATCATCTTCTTCTTTGTCTTCTTTTTCTTCTTCGTCTTCTTCTTCTTTTTCTTCTTCTTCTTTTTCTTCTTCTTCTTTTCTTCTTCTTCTTCTTCTTCTTCTTCTTCTTCTTCTTCTTCTTCTTCTTCTCTTCTTCTTGTTCTTCTTCTTCTTCTCTTCTTCTTCTTCTTCTTCTTCTTCTTCTTCTTCTTCTTCTTCTTCTTCTCTATACTTCTTCTCTTCTTCTTCTTCTTTCTTCTTCTTCTTCTTCTTTCTTCTTCTTCTGCTGCTGCTGCTTCTTCTTCTACTTCTTCTTTTTCTTCAACTTCACTTCTTTTTTCTTCTTCACATTCTTCTTCTTCTGCTGCATGACTTCTTACTTCTTTTTCACAAACATTCATAGATATGTAACACTCACAGATGTAACACACACACACACACACACACACACACACAGATATCACACACTCACAGATTTAACACACATACACACTTAATCACAGATATCCCACACACACAAACACACACACTCATAGATATAACACACACAAACATAGACACTCACAGATATAACACACACACACACTCACTCACAAATATCACACTCTCACAGATATCACACAAGCACAAAGACATCGCCGCACCAGCAGAGCTGTGTTAACTGGAAATCATGTTCCCAGAGAAATCCCGTCATTGCAAGGCTACTACAAATTTTTACTTGTGTTCCACCGAATGATCAACGAGTCGGACAAACACTGCGACACAAGAAGATATGCAACACACGGTAACGATGCCGGGGCAGAGTGAGAACATAAAGAGAGATCAACTGGCAGACACAAGACATAAATTGCTGCTTTCCCTGCACTCATGCTTGCACACGGGTGACCCCAGCTTGGATGAACCGATGCAGAGTAAACGTCGAGACAAATCATGGCGCAGGTATGTTGCATGGAAGCCAGGAATCAGGCTGGTGACTAGGCCCATCTCTTGACTCATCCATCACTTCGGAGAAGATAGTCAGCAGGGGATGGGTACCGTTGCTTCCAGAAGATTCCACGTGTAACATTGCTTCTGCTGGCATTTATCAAGAATATGGCAGCTTAGTCATAAAATGACAGTTGCAATAAAAGCATGACAAAGTCGGGCAGCCTGATTTCCTCTCGTCTGCGTTATGCATTATTTAACCACTCTCACGCCACTTCTCTTATCAACCATTCATCATGGAGCTAGCACGTTGCTATGAATACATGTTTGCAATACGCTACTTAGAAACACCATAATTTTGAACTTTTCGTCACATAAATGTGCGGTCACGTCCTCTTTTAAAAAACCAAATTCAAAAATCGCAAACAGAAATCTGCACGAGCCATTGGTGTCATGTGAGATGAAGAAGGATTTCGTCACTTCAACTTGTCCATATTCCGAAACACGAGCTCGGTCTAAGTTCGTGTAGCCGGCAGATTTCTGTGCGCCACTTCAGACCTCGTACAGTGAAGATCGGATTGTGCCATAAACAGTTTCCACTGACTTCAGTTCATCAGACATAAACTCGGTGGGTATATGTTTGTGTATGCCCGAGCGGCCGCACTACTTTGATCAGCATCACGGTAGACAAGTAACGACCAAAGATCAAGTTTACTTACACTAAGTAAGTTGCCTTAATTGTACTGGCTTTCACTAATTATGTCTGGCGCTATCTTCCCAGGGCGGATGTTTGCTATTCGAAAACGTCGCACAAAGCACGAAACTCCGTAGCTCCAGCAAAGATCCACAGGGGCCTCTAACTTGATTCACTCACTCAGAGATGAACGGGGTCCTACATAGAACTGATAAATGTCACAGTACCAGGCAAACGACTTACCCAATCGGCCATAAGGACCCTGAGACTAAACTAACACAGGTACAGACAGATGAACCTCATGGCTCGCACATTCACCGGTGAATGCAAAGCTGCAGACTTGTAGGCGAGTACCTGTCTTGACGCTGCTCAATACTTCAAACACGGTGACATGCGCACTGAAATCTTTCTACGGACGAATAGTAGACAGGTTATCTAAGACAGCAAGGGAAACAGAGACCATTTATACAGTTTCTGATCAGCGGGCGGACTTTTTTCTTTTCTCTGGTAAATCTCTGTGCTTACAGAGCAGCATCCAGCTGGAGGCGTCAGTGTTTTCTACAGCTGGAATCAGCAATGTCCCTGTCTGACAATCATTGTGTGTGGACTGTCTGACAATCATTGTGTGTGGACTGTCTGACAATCATTGTGTGTGGACTGTCTGACAATCATTGTGTGTGGACTGTCTGACAATCATTGTGTGTGGACTGTCTGACAATCATTGTGTGTGGACTGTCTGACAATCATTGTGTGTGGACTGTCTGACAATCATTGTGTGTGGACTGTCTGACAATCATTGTGTGTGGACTGTCTGACAATCATTGTGTGTGGACTGTCTGACAATCATTGTGTGTGGACTGTACATACACTAGGGCGTCTAGCAGTGTTGCCCACATCAGCAACATCCCTGCGTGTCCTTGACATCGACACTGACAAACCCTGTCTAGATTTCTCATTTAAAATTCCACAAACCACCTCAAACCTTTCATTGTCTCCGCTGGTGACTGATCATATGCCATTATGTCCGTTCTCTCTCTCTCTCTCTCTCTCTCTCTCTCGTCTCTCTCTCTCTCTCTCTCTCTCTCTGTCTCTCTCTCTTTCTGTCTCTCTCTCTGTCTCTCTCTGTCTCTCTCTCCCTCTCTCCCTCTCTGTTTCTCCCTCCTATTTTTGTATCCCTTTCTGTCTCTCTTTGTCTCTCTCTCCCTCTCTGTCTCTCTCGCTGTCTGTATTGTCCTCTCTGTCACTCTCTGTCTCTGTTTTCCTCTCTGTCACTTTCTGTCTCTGTTTTACTCTCTGTCATTCTATGTCTCTATGTCTCTCTTTTCCTCTCTGTCTGTCACTCTCTGTCTCTCTATGTTTCTCTTTCCCTCTCTATCTGACACTCTCTGTCTCTCAATTTATCATAAATTTGTCACATTAAAAGCCAAATTCATCAACAAAGCCTCGCACAATCTTTTATCCAGCACAATCTTGTATCCAACAGACGACACAATCTTGTATCCAACAGACGACACAATCTTCTATCCAGCAGGCGACACAATCTTGAATCCAGTAAACGACCAAACCTTGTATCCAACAGACGGCACAATCTTGTATCCAACAGACGGCACAATCTTGTATCCAACAGACGGCACCATCTTGTATCCAACAGACGGCACAATCTTGTATCCAACAGACGACACAATCTTGTATCCAACAGACGGCACAATCTTGTATCCAACAGACGGTACAATCTTGTATCAAGCCAACGGCACAATCCTGTATCCAGTAAACGACACAATCGTGTATCCAACAGACGACACAATCTTGTATCCAACAGACGACACAATCTTGTATCCAACAGACGACACAATCTTGTATCCAACAGACGACACAATCTTGTATCCAACAGACGACACAATCTTGTATCGAACAAACGACACAATCTTGTATCCAACAGACGACACAATCCTGTATCCAACAGACGACACAATCCTGTATCCAACAGACGACACAATCTTGTATCCAACAGACGACACAATTTTGTATCCAACAGACGACACAATTTTGTATCCAACAGACGACACAATCAGGTATCCAACAGACGACACAATCCTGTATCCAACAGAAGACACAATCCTGTATCCAACAGACGACACAATCTTGTATCCAACAGACGACACAATCTTGTATCCAACAGACGACACAATCTTGTATCCAACAGACGACACAATCTTGTATCCAACAAACGACACAATCTTGTATACAACAGACGACACAATCGTGTATCCAACAGACGACACAATCATGTATCCAGCAGACGGCACAATCCTGTATCCAACAGACGACACAATCTTGTATCCAACATGACACAACGATCCACGCACAACCTTGTATTCCGACGGATCCTGTATCCACACACAATCTTATATCCAACACGCATCTTGACAGACGACACAATCTTGTATCCAACAGACGACACAATCCTGTAAACGACACAATCTTGTATCCAGCAAACGACACAATCCTGTTATCCAGCAGACGACTCACTAGGAAAAGTGTCATCATTTGTAAATCGTTGGAATTATACGGCTATAACCTCGAGAAGATTGAGATGGGCAGCGCAATCGGTGGTGGCTGTGAGAACGCCTCCATGGGGTACACTCCTGACAGCAACCGTGGCACATACAGTAGATGGATTCCCTGAGATGTCTAGCACGAATGTGGTATCTGTATCAACACTGTGATGTGTTCACATATAAACTAGGCTCATTCAGTAATGTCCCACAAGGATGCTATCAGATGTGTTTCCCTTAGCATCAGTCGTATCTTGAAACGTGGTCTATAAATTGTCCAATAATCGCGCCTTACGAACCGACTATTAGTGTGTGTGTGTGTGTGTCTGTGTAGTAGGCTTTTCAGCCATGTGTGGGTCGAGTGTGTGATGCTCGTTTTGGTGTGTAGGTGTCGTCATTGTTGCTCTTCGATGATGTGTAAGTTGTGTAAGTTGTGCCGGCTGTGGCATCTCTTTCGCCATGCGTAACTTTTAAACGATATCCGTGCCAGTTTGTGGGCAAGGGTTCTTTGGCAGTGTGCAGACTGTGAGGGATGTTCTTTGGCTACATGTGCGGACTGTGAGGGATGTTCTTTGGCTACATGTGCGGACTGTGAGGGATGTTCTTTGGCTACATGTGCGGACTGTGAGGGATGTTCTTTGGCTACATGTGCGGACTGTGAGGGATGTTTTTTAGCTGCATGTGCAGACTGTGAGGGGATGTTCTTTAGCTACATGTGCGGACTGTGAGTGATATTCTTCATTTACATGTAAAGACTGTAAAGGATGTTATTTGGCTCTATGTGCAGCCTGTGAGTGATGTTCGTTGGCTATATGTGGGTTTCGGTGTGAAATTTGTTGTTTTCTGATAAGAGAAAGTTGTGAATCGAAAACATGTTATTGTTAGAACTGAAGCCATGCAAAAGCTCTGTGAACACTCCCATGAGAGCTTTCCCCTACTCAACCGGTGAATAAGTGTAGAGACGCTAAGCCAAGCACTCTGTGGCTGCATACGTAGACATGACACAGACGCTAAACCAGGCATTCTGTGGCTGCATACGTAGACATGACACAGACGCTGTCAAGTAGTCTGTGGCTGCATACGTAGACATGACACAGACGCTAAGCCAAGTACTCTGTGGCTGCATACGTAGACATGACACAGACGCTAAGCCAAACACTATGTGGCTGCATACGTAGACATGACACAGACGCTAAGCCAAGCACTCTGTGGCTGCATACGTAGACATGACACAGACGCTAAGCCAAGTACTCTGTGGCTGCATACGTAGACATGACACAGACGCTAAGCCAAGTACTCTGTGGCTGCATACGTAGACATGACACAGACGCTAAGTCAAGTACTCTGTGGCTGCATACGTAGACATGACACAGACGCTAAGTCAAGTACTCTGTGGCTGCATACGTAGACACGACACAGACGCTAAGTCATGTACTCTGTGGCTGCATACGTAGACATGACACAGACGCTGTCAAGTACTCTATGGCTGCATACGTAGACACGACACAGACCAATCATGCAGCCAAAAGCATCTCTGGTCCACGTGCACTGGTCAGTTCCTTGACCGTTGATCGTGTGGACTGGCCAGATCCTTGACCGTTGATCGTGTGCACTGGCCAGATCCTTGACCGTTGATCGTGTGCACTGGTCAGATCCTTGACTGTTGATCGTGTGGACTGGCCAGATCCTTGACTGTTGATCGTGTGTACTGGCCAGATCCTTGACTGCTTATCGTGTGCACTGGCCAGATTCTTGACTGTTGATCGTGTGCACTGGCCAGATCCTTGACTATTGATCGTGTGCACTGGCCAACCATGCCTCAAAGCTTGCTGGAGTGGCTTATAGTGATGATAAAAATGGATGCTAACACAGACAAACTTATATTGCCATACAAGGGAGGGGGGAAAAGGAGGGGGGGGGGGACGGGAGGCCGAATCCTCTAGAACAATCCAGAATAAACTGCGAGTTCAGGGGAAATCAAGATAAATGGTTTCCGTGACACAAACGCAAATTTCCTTTCGCGTGCTGAAGTTAGCGCGTGCATGTTTGCAGGCACGTGGTGTTAAGTGGCGCATGAACTAACAACGAAGCTCAGAAATGAGGAAAATGAACAGATATCAAAACTGATTGTGTTGATGTCCCGACAGCACACGCAGACACAACAACACCGGCTCCAAATACGGGGCATCTGCTAGTCGTTAGACCTAGTTTATGTTGTTTGTCTCTCCCAGTTTCGCCCGGTCTTATGAACTTTAATATTTTTTTTTCTTTTTCTTTTATTAAAACGAGAAGGTTTTAACAATAAACATTAGACAAAGAGAAATAATCGCCATTAGAGAGAGAGAGAGAGAGAGAGAGAGAGAGAGAAAGAGAGAGAAATAATAATGACGATTAGACTTAGAGAGATATAGGCGGTTAGACGAAGAATAATAATGGCTATTAGACAAAGAGAAACAACGGATTTTAGACAGAGTTTATCAGCCGTTACACCAAGAGAAATAAAGGCCATTAGACAAAGATAAATATTGGCTTTTAGACAAAGAGAACAAATTACCTTTAGACCAAGAGAAATAATGGCCTTCAGGCGTAAAGAAATAATAGCCATTAGACAAAGACAAATAATACAATTAGACATAGAGAAATAATGGCCTTTAGACGTCGAGTAATAATGGCCATTAGACAAAGAGAAATAACGGGTTTTGGACACAGTGAAGTAACGACCATTAGACAAAGAGTAATAATGGCTATTATACAAAGACAAAAAATACCATTAGACATAGAGTAATAATGACCATTAGACAAAGAGAAATAATACCATAAGACATAGAGTAATAATGGCCATTATACAAAGACAAATAATACCATTAGACAAAGAGTAATAACGACCATTAGACAAAGAGAAATAACGACCATTAGACAAAGAGTAATAACGACCATTAGACAAAGAGTAATAACGACCATTAGACAAAGAGTAATAACGACCATTAGACAAAGAGAAATAATACCATTAGACAAAGAGTAATAACGACCATTAGACAAAGAGAAATAACGGGCTTTGGACACAGTGAAGTAACGGGCTTTGGACACAGTGAAGTAACGGCCATTATACATGTTTCAATGTCCTTCTGTTTCTCTGCAACAGGAGCAAATATACAGCATGTGAATGTGTAGACATTATTTGGATCTTCAGTAACAACAAACAGAAGATCTGTAATTTTGTAATGACTTAGATTACAGATACCAGAGAAAAGGCAGCATATCGCCGGATGATCAGCTACTTACATTCAAGAGACTGATGACTTCTTTAGCTAATGGTGTCCGGTAGAAGTGACCGTTTACAAAACAAACTCTCAAAGCTCTCGGACAAAATGAAGGCTGGGTAACAAATTGGAACTGACCATAGCTAATAATACAGTATGTTTAGCAACAACAACATAGAATGAAGGAATACACAAGATACAAATGGGAGATTTATTAAACCAAATCATACACTGTGTTTAGGTGTCCTAACTAAAACAGCCAGGATACCATCAAGAAATCGCTGGAACTAAAGGCAGCAAAACAGACAAGATACCATCAAGAAATCGCTGGAACTAAAGGCAGCAAAACAGACAAGATACCATCAAGAAATCGCTGGAACTAAAGGCAGCAAAACAGACAAGACACCATCAAGAAATCGGTGGAACTAAAGGAGGCAAAACATACAAGATACCATCAAGAAATCGCTGGAACTAAAGGCAGCAAAACAGTCAGAATACTATCAAGAAATCGCTGGGACTAGAGGCAGCAAAACAGACAAGATACCATCAAGAAATCGGTGGAACTAAAGGCAGCAAAACATACAAGATACCATCGAGAAATCGCTGGAACTAAAGGCAGCAAAACAGACAAGATACCATCAAGAAATCGGTGGAACTAAAGGCAGCAAAACATACAAGATACCATCAAGAAATCGCTGGAACTAAAGGCAGCAAAACAGCCAGGATACTATCAAGAAATCGCTGGGACTGAAGACAGGAAGACAACCAGGATACCATCAACATTTCACCGGAACAGAAAACACCAATACAGACAGGATATCATCAAGAAATCGCTGGGACTGAAGACAGCAAGACAGACAAGATGCTATCAATTTATCACTGAAACTGAAGACAGCAAGACAGCCAGTATACCATCAACACATTGCCGGAACTGAAGACAGCAAGACAGCCAGTATACCATCAACACATTGCCGGAACTGAAGACAGCAAGACAGCCAGTATACCATCAACACATTGCCGGAACTGAAGACAGCAAGACAGCCAGTATACCATCAACACATTGCCGGAACTGAAGACAGCAAGACAGCCAGTATACCATCAACACATTGCCGGAACTGAAGACAGCAAGACAGCCAGTATACCATCAACACATTGCCGGAACTGAAGACAGCAAGACAGCCAGTATACCATCAACACATTGCCGGAACTGAAGACAGCAAGACAGCCAGTATACCATCAACACATTGCCGGAACTGAAGACAGCAAGACAGCCAGTATACCATCAACACATTGCCGGAACTGAAGACAGCAAGACAGCCAGTATACCATCAACACATTGCCGGAACTGAAAGACAGCAAGACAGCCAGTATACCATCAACACATTGCCGGAACTGAAGACAGCAAGACAGCCAGTATACCATCAACACATTGCCGGAACTGAAGACAGCAAGACAGTATACCATCAACACATTGCCGGAACTGAAGACAGCAAGACAGACAGTATACCATCAACACATTGCCGGAACTGAAGACAGCAAGACAGTATACCATCAACACATTGCCGGAACTGAAGACAGCAAGACAGCCAGTATACCATCAACACATTGCCGGAACTGAAGACAGCAAGACAGCCAGTATACCATCAACATTTCACT